ATATAATATCATCGGATGATTGGCCTCTAGATAAAGATTGCTGTGGGTTCATTGAACATTGGTATTTGGATTCCAATAATTTCCTAATGGTGGTTATCGATACCCATATTGCTTACAGTATATTCCATTAATCTACATGCGGCTGGTAATGAAAAAGAGTATGCCTATGCAACCTGATTGAAATGAATGAAGCATTGTTTGTAAAGTTGGATTCAAACTGGATTCAGGTAGTACGTGTTGAGTTTGTGCCACTTTATGCTCAACAAAGCAATGAGATACACATTTTTCTACAGATTTCCCTTCTCCCTATTTATATTTCAGTTAGGTTGACAGGTAAGACAGACGACTGTACCTGCCTACCAGGGTACCTGCCATTCAATGTGGTGTTGAAGATTTGTGGTTCGCTAGCTTCTCATACTCCCTTTCAATTCTTTGCCATTCTTCTTTTCTATATACTTTAACATTCTTGTTTAGCGTCTTTATGTGTTTCATGTTCCTCTTTGTACATCTAGGCACATCCCCTTTATGCCTTTCCTGGTTTCTCCTGTTTCCCTCCCTCCTTCTCTGTCCCCGTCTGCACTCTTTTCATATCTCGTCCTCCCATGGAACGGAAAACAGTGGTTTCCCTTATCAACACCTCCACAACCTGCAAAGTTACAGCTAATGACACCGCATCTCAATTCCTCAAACCTGCAATGCTGTTGCATTTTTGAAACTTTGTCAGCGAATCTCTGTCTACCATGTCTCTCAGTCTCTCGCCCAAGGGGACCTCCCACAGGTTCCTGGCAGTGAAGGAGTGACGGTTGTTGTGAAACATGACTGTCGTATTGATTGCACAGAGCACCGCAACAGCTGGTAGGCTCAAAGAGAGCACAGTTTGCTATGGCCAAGAATGTGATGTGGAGGAGTAAGCAAATGTGAATGTCTCCCAAGGGTTATCCCTCTCAAGATCTTTGCATAATCCTTCCTGATGAATCTAAAAATCGATTTGGAGGGCGTGGCTGGGAAAGGGAGGCCATGGGGAGGTGGAGCTGGTGGGGAAGGACAAAGATCTGAGATTGCCAGTTGTGGGCCAGAGAGTTGATAGTCCTGATTCCCTGGCATATACACTTAGGATTAGTCATATAAACACACAGCTAACATTACGCACTATAACAACCCGGCAATTGGGGAGGCTGAAATCATACTGCATCATTTTATGCAAAATTTTGCAGAAGTTTATTTTCTAGTAATCACATTACATTTGTCTGTATCATTTGTCTAGGAGGATACAGTTTCCTTCAACTCTGACACTAACATTAGTGAATATTTGAAGATGGAGATCCTGAACCCTGCAGTAGCCACAAAATTCAACACAGCGACACCATCTAATGCGACCTTAGAGAGGCTTTTCAGTCTGGGCAGTCTTGTGTTGATTCCGAGGAGGAACAGGGTGTCTGCCACTGCTTTGGTGGTAAACATGTCAAATAAGTTGGACTGGTATAGTATAAAGCCATAGTTTGGTTGGCTTGTTAAATGTAGTTCATATTACATTACCTCAGGCACTTTTGTGGAGTAACACGGAAGGAATGTAACGAGCAGTGTAACAAATTACTTTCTACAGGAGTAATTAAGTAAAGTTACCCTAACAATGGTATGGATGATACAGATGATGCATAACTCAGTTAAATGCTTAGTTATAATGTTAGTTAAAGGCCAAATCCACATTTTTATGACCACATAAATTGTGTGTTTGTATAATTAATTAGAGAAGCTGAAATTATACTCTGCTTTTACCGCTGCTTTTTCTGACATATTGGCGTAAACAGACCTTTTACAGCATCGGTGGCATTAATACCTTGTTGTCTACAACAGTGATTCTAATTTTGGTGGTGACATTTGTTTGCAACTGGATCACAGATTGTGCCTTTAAGGTTACATTGTATATTCAGCATGGAGTTGCTAATGGCAACGACTTAACAAAGCCACGCGTTGATCACGCGATAGCATGTGGTTAGCAACTTAATGATAGAGATAATGAGTGGTAGAGTCAGTCAGTCAGTCAGTCAGTCATCTAGTCAACTAAGCAGCCCATGACCCTCCCGCCCATCTGCTTTCTTAGTCCTTTAGTAAACATCATCGTAACAGAAACACACTCTACACATTACTATTGCATGACTATTGTATTTTGTATATGTTTTCAACTCTTAAGGTATGTGCTGTCACATATGAGTAGTATAAAGTATCTAAATGGGATTAACATCCCTGTATTTTGCTGTAGTAGCATCCCATCACTCCTTGCAATTCACCACATCAGGACTACCATCCACTTCACCTGTATCCCGAGTGCAAGGTAAATTAATGTGCCTTGCCCTCTGATTGCACTGAGGTCAGGAAACAACAACGGCACTAATGGCTCTTCTTATTAACTATTCAATAACTACTCAATTGTTGCAGGCAATCGGTAGAAATTCCAGTTAACTCATGAATTGTGAAGAGAGACTGCTCAAACATTTTTCTTCTTCATTGTAGTTCAAATTGCCATAGCCTCTTATTTCAATCACCCATCAGACTAAATGGCACCTTGATTTAGAGTATTCCAACGAAGAGTATTCAGTATTTATTATTTATTTTATAAATAGATATTTCAAATGTTATTTTGGTGAAATTAGGTCTTCCCAGGTTTTCTTTGCTGAGCCCTATTTTATTGATGCTCCAGTAATCCAGTCTTGTTGTTGTTGGTATTTTTTTCTTTTTCTTATTTCATTCACCCAATGAACCTCACAATATCAGTTTGCATGCCTTCACACGAGAAATAAACAGGAAGAAAATTACACTTCAGGGTTTTTCCAGTGTAACATCCATCACCTCTTGAGAGCAACCCCAACAGACAGTGCTATGGATTCCCTGAATTATGGCTAACGTAGTTCAATAGCATCCTGATGAACTGAAGATTACATAGCAACAAGGCAGTGGGTTTGGTAGGTGGGTGGTCATTATTCAGGTCTCCCAGGCCTGCCTTCCCTACTGATTTGCTCTCCCCTTTTTCCTGGTACACCACTGATCTGTGATTGCAATTGATTGGAGACTGCTCATCATTCCTCCAAGGGCAACATCAGGAATCATCGACATGAGGAGGAAATGGATTTAGGGAGATAAGCAGAATGGGACAAATGACTGCAGTGGGTGGAGAGAAAATGAAGCAATCTGCAGAAACTAAGGGCTTGTAATGAAAGAAGGAAATAATGTGGGGCATATAGCTTGACATGTATCTCCTTAATTCAAGTGGGTGTGGCCAATGATTGATGGGGCCAGGCTTATGGTCCAGGCACTAGGAGAGGTTTTCCCTATTAACTGTAGTGAGATAAAATTTACTACACTAAAAAGGAATCCATCTACTTAGCACACCCATAGACCCTGTCATTTTGAGAAGAACCTGATGGAGCACTTATTAACTATTGATCAGCAAAGAAACTGTGCTGTCTTATTGACATTCACCTCTTTATTTTAAGACTAACATCAATTGACTCTAGCAGGTTTCTTGACATCTGTATTGAATTCAAATGAATCACAAGCTATAGAAAAAAGACAAACATAATGGCACCTATTGCAATGCAATAAGTGCTATACTTTATTAATTTGCACTGAACACTCAGCAGTTAGTTTATAACTTTTGAGAGTGAAATGAGTGATTGTGCTGAGAAAAAAAAAAAACAGTCAGTTTTCTTATTCCAGCCAAACACAGAACTAAAATTCTTGACTCTTCTATAAGTATTTCCTGTTACTATTCTCCAATCACCTAAGTGAGCAAGAAAACGATGCCAGCGTTTAGATTATACATGCAGATCATGTTCAGGCATACACTTGTCACATCTTAGAACCCTTCAATCTCTCCAACATGTGGCGCTTACAGCCCACTAAAGCCCGTTTCGCGCTTGGTCAGCACAATGCGCTGTCCATGCATGGAGCTGAGGCACTGCACTCCGTCCACCGAGCACTGCGTTAAGGACACACATGTCTGTTGGTGGACTACAGACCTATCTACGGACATTGCTGAATCATTTAACCAGTGTAGTGATAGATGAATTTAAAAAGAAAAAAAATCTTGTTCACAGTCGCTACGTGTTATCTCGTGCCTGGCAGTCCAAAATGTGTGGGCGAAGGAATCTGTGTGGTCCATCGGTCAGTAGTCGGACACTGTTGCTGCTGCTGGCAGGAAATCTCTCTCTCTCTCTCTCTCTCTCTCTCTCTCTCTCTCTCATTCACTCACGCACTCACACGCACGCAGGAGCACTGGATAACTAAAGGCAGCCGACAAAGAAGCCCTCATTGCAGGTAAAGTGTGGCGCCTGTCGTGCAGAGAGCTCCACACTGCTGGAAAACTGGGGGCATTCACCCTCAAAACACACAAGCTACAGCACAAGCACACACACACTCGCGCGCGCGCACGCGCCCATCGCCAGTTTTATCCCCCTGCGTGATTCCTCCCTCGATACTAAATCCCTTCTTGCACATCTGTCCATGGCGCGCACTCTGCCCGTCCATCCTATCCCTGCAGAACCCCAGCATAAATACCAGCCTGGCTTCATGTGACACTTTAAATCTAGGGCCACATATTTTAATCACTTCTTTTTGGCATTTGAACCCAAAGATGCCGAAATAGCGCGTCGTTCAACAACTGTAGCAAAATGAGGAAAATGAAGATTAATACCCAGCAATAAAATCTTATTCCATGCACGTACAACGTTATCCAATATCACCAGTCTGCTCAGAATTTCACTTAATGCAAATCCCAAACAGAAAAGAAAACATGGTTTCATGCCCTCGTAAAATCAACCATATGGGCTTCTGTTGCACCAAGAGGACTCAACCCAGCAGAGCGTTGGAGTCTGTAGTGCAGGTGCATGCTCGCTCTGCCGTCGCTTGCCTCCATCGCATACATCATACCAAAGCAACATACAAAAAATAAAATATAATTGATATTAAAATCGTAACATGGAAACGTGCATTTTGTACAGTACCTTCACTTATTTCCCTTCCAAATGATGCGTCCGTTGGCCGAAGCAATTGGAGAGATTTTTTTTTTTTTCATCCACTGCTAACGTCGCAGGCTCAGCAGCACGGCGGGAGAGGATGACTGAGAGAGAGAGAGAGAGAGAGAGAGAGAGAGAGAGAGAGAGAGAGAGACCTCTGCGGAGAGTAATATAGTTGAACTGCAGTGGGCATCTGCCTCTACAGCTGTGTTCTTTTTCTGTGAAGTGAATACCTGCAGATACACTTTGTGGCAGCACTTACCTTCATTAACGATCGTGGAGTTGAAACATAGCAAATGGCATTGATATGATATTGAACAGAGTGATGGAGACACACATTTATCAATGAGAGGTAGTCAGAATCATATATACCTACTGCATAACCCCTTATTCCCTTCACCATTAAAAGACATTTAACAGACATTTTAGACACAAAAACAGAACTTATTAGCCTTTGTATTTCTTCATTGGTGATTACTGTGAGAAATTAACATTTGCTGTTGTAAAGAGTGAAAAAGGGGTGGGAAAGGAGAGGAGGAAGAGTGGAAGGATCTTGCTCCATTGCTCCAATTCTATTTTGACATATTTAGTCATATCAACAAACAGGGATGTGAATTATTAAAAACATAAATGCAAAAAACATCACATGTTGTAAGCACATTGCAATGATTTGGGCCAATGGAAGATGTGCAATTAAATATTAATTTTTGGAGGTATTGCTCTAAGCTCACAATAAATTTAAACTAGTCAGCAGGTCTGGCTGCTTTAAGATGATCAGAGCCCATTCTATTGTCAGCTCCCTCCCAACTCTATTTCTCCTCTTTCTCCACTCCTTACCACTGATATATTACATTTTTGTCCACATACACATTTCAAGCTTTAAGAAGAATGGAAGATGGAGTGGGGCTGTTGGAGGTGAATACGTCTCCGGCAGTTTGTGAATCAAGCTATAGAAACAATCCAGGGCTAGGAATGAAAAAGCCCTGATGATGTTCTGCATGCGTGTGTGGGCGGCAGGGAGGTTGATTCTGCTTGTTTCACATGAAGGAATATGTTGGAGGTGTGATCATACTCAATTAACACTCTTTCCCTCCCCATTTCTCACTTACATCTTTTCTGTCTCCTTGTCCTTCTCACTCACAAAAACAAACGTGCACAGACACATGCTAACACACGTGTATACTTCATCTCATTAACTCGCTCTCTCTCCATCTATGTCTTTTTTTTTCTGTCAGTGGAGGACTATTAGCTCCAGAGACTGATGTGGCACTGAGAGTCTCATTAATATCTCCTCATTATCGGTGCCCGTAGTGTTAAGCAATAGCACAATCGCTTGTCTTGGCATGATGCTTAACACATCTGTTAGGCTATATACTGCTGCTACTGGGAGCACATGTAGTCATGTGTGATGAGCTGTTTTATATATATGCTTTTATACACAATAGGCTACATATACCAGAAGCAAATAAACAGCTGTGCCATTGCACCAATAATGGATAATGATGATTTCTTGCATCAAAAGTAATTTATAACATCTGAAAGCTACAGATGCAACCTCAATACTTAACACCACACAACTGAGTCTTAGCACTGCCGTTAAAAGTGCTGCAAACTGGGAAAATCCTCCTCTAATAATCCCATCTAGACTTCATTTGGTCAGTTCTGATCTTCTATTTTCCAGAGACTGCATTTATTGGCTGAATGCAATCTAGGGAAATTAGCAGATTGCAAGAGAAAAACAAGAACAGAAGGCAAATATCAGAGCAGGGGAGAGAGAAACGAGCCGGAGAGCGTGTTTCCTGACTCACCCTCCATTAAGCCTGGCTAAGAAGTTTTTGGTTCCATCTTTACCTTTGCACACCTGATACAATTAGTGGCCTCAAGCTGGCTGAGTGTGTGTAAGAGTTAAGCTGGGAGAACGACACACTTAGAAGACTGTAGAAGATGTGGTATGAGTGAAGCAAACGTGAACCATGAATATCAAAAGATAGGTCATGTAAATCAAGATATTAGTTTTTGAGATGCTTCTACTTTATTTATGGATGTGTGTCCAGTATTTTTGAGGCAAAATGTTTGACCTGATGGTGAGTCTAGATGAAAGATCAGTTGGGTTTAAAAAGCCTAATATATCTGTACCAAACATCATTGCTCTCTGGGCAGTATTTGTCGAGATTTGTGTTGTGTTTGACACACAGAAGGGCAGACTGATTGGCCATTGTCAGTGCCCTGTCATTAGTGGCCAATTTGATGTTAGAGATGGCTTATATTTCAGAAGCATAATTTTGTCTGAGCACAAAATGTTAGGTATCAGGTCTAGTGCTGATTGTCTTACGGGACCGAAAGATGCTGGCCTGCATTTCTTAATAGCTCCATGCTGTCTAGTCATAAATAATTCTATCCTAACTTCACTCTCACGTACAAAGCCACTTTGATGCATGGGACTCTTTTCTTGACAGCCAAACAATTAATAGCTGCTCTTATATTCTCAAGTTACTGCCAGGGACTTTAATTTTGGATCCTTCTTGCAAGGTTAACTATTAGTGTGAAGACAAGCAGGGTCGTCATCATGCCACTGCTTAAGGTTTTGAGGCTATGACACTGGCTGCTACATTAATGAATCTAATTTCAAACGCCTTCCTATTCCAGAAATCTTTCCAGCTGGGTGCATTCCTCTTGCACTTTTCTACTTGATTCATTTTTTATCCTTTTCCTGGGAAACTACTTTGGTGCACTTTATCAGCTCCATCTGCTCATGTGAAATCACTTTTAGCCCTACAGTCATTCTTTTTTGTAATCAAATATATATACTTTTTTTGTATATAGTTTTTACAATAATAAAATGAAGAGAAAATGTCTTTAAGGAATTAACAGAAATGCTCATTTTCATTTCAGCTGGCTAAAGGTGTCAGTGTGTGAATGGCAGCAGCTGGCAGTTGCCAGAGTGCCAGTATTACACCATAAGGAAGAGAGACATAGTTAACAAAAGGACAACATGTAAACAGACTATAGTGACATTTGCTGACATGCTGTTTAATGTGCTGTCGATGTGCAGTTAATTAGCTATATATCCTGAAAACTGACATTATCAGTGTGCTTCTCCCCAGAGAATATTTGTTTGCTCGCTCATTCAACAATCTAAGGTGCAAAACAAGACGTGTTCATACCTAAAAGTTAGATAAGGACACTTTAACATTTCGGGGTGGCCATGGCTCCCACAGGTCACCCTTTGGCAGCACCACTGCACTTTAGCAGGAAGGTTAATGAGGATCTTGTTTTGTGTAGCAAGATTTGATTGGCTGTATAAAACAAGGTTTACATCTATGTAGACCTAATGGTATTACGTCAAATTGATGCAAAACTAGAGGGCATAAAAAATATTATTATTTTCTCGGTGTCTTAGTTAGGTTCCCATGATGACAATTATAGGGATAAAATGACTGCTCTAAAATTGCAACAAGACTATGAATTTAAGATGTTGGAGGTACAGTACCATGAAATTCTACCCAAAAAAAACATAAGGCTATGACTACAGTTTACTTATGTTCCTGTGTCAGCTTACTTATGTTCCTAGCCTAGTCGATTAAAGGGTTCAGGCTCATACAGTGTCTGTTGCTTTAAAAAGGCTGTGAAATAAAACATCAAATCTTCACTAGGAAAAGTTTAAAGTTGTCACAGCTGCTATCTCAGTTCCATCCCGGGTCCTGACACCTTTCTGGCACCCATTATCTTTGGCTGACATAATTTGACAAACTCAAACGCATACCCAACATATTCAGTTCAGATTGCAGGATTGTTTACCAGATGAGGTATCTCAGCTGACTGGCCTCACGACTCGAGCGCTGCAAGTGTGTTTCCATGGTAACCAAGTATAGTATTGAGAAGAGGAGCAAAGAGTGAGAGACACTGACGCTAACCCTGAGCACTGTATTCTCTCGTTTATCACTCCTCTCCCTGTCCATTTTTTTTTTTGGAGGCGGAGGTAGCTTGAATATCATGTCAAAGCCATGGTAGCATGATTGCCTGAAACACTGGTTAGATACTTTAAAAGTGTGTCCTGACAATATTTGTGCATGTCCAATGCCGTTTCCAAACCATTAACATTTTTGCCTTTTGCAGCTCCAGCCCACCAAAGTTGCACCCATTATTGATTTACATAACAAATGTACTTGTTTGGAGGTTGCTAGAAATGCTTTGACACCATTTGGTTGAATTAGCAGTAACTGGAACCTACTACAGCAAATTTTAGAACAGGGGCCTAAACATAGCTACTACAGGAAACATGAGATAATGGCTTTTATATGAAGGGAAAAATTTCTAAGTCACAGAAATACAAAATTGAAGACCCCTTTAATTGTTTAGTGAATGTATATATGTGAAGCAGTGAAATTAATTTGCAAAATGTAGAACTTGATGACCAGATATTACTGTTATCATGAATTCTCTGTAGTGATGTATCAGGTTGTTTTTTTTTGTTTAACCTTTATTCAACCAGGATATCACTTGAGATAGAAATCTCTTTCCGAAAGAGACCTGTTAGCCATCAGAATTCTCTGTTCAGTTGTTTTCCAGGAACATATGAGAACACTGATTTGTACATGCATTTGCCACCAGGGACCTTCTGCTTTGGAACGACCTGTATGATGAGATAAGTTTTGCAGAATAACTGACATTTTTTATCAACTTGCCTTTACATGATGTAGTCTTTTTACTTTATTTAATCTATTTTATGTTATTATTTATTTTTATTTTATTTTAAGCCTTCTGTTCTGCTCTTATTATTGTGTTTTCATGTATTTATAATTGTATATGTTATTATATTATGTGTATCACGGCTAAAATTTTGCAATGTCTATCAAAGTGCTGTTTTTGGGTGCTGTATAAATAAAGTTATTAATGAAAAATCAATTAAATTATTATTATTATTATCATCTTCTCTCAGTTGTTGCATGCTCGTGAAAAACTGTCACAAACAGAATTTACATTAAATAAAATCACTGTTTAGGACACGTGGGAGGCCAAGGAAGTGTGAATGTTGGCAGTGTCATCAGTGCCCTCATGCCTGGACAGAGCTGAGGGCATCATCGCAAAACTCAGCAATAAGCACTCAAGCACACAGAATGCAGAGTTCCAGCTGATCCTTACAGGCGCTGCACATCAATAAACAGGAATCTGAATGCACAAAGTTTCTCCTACATTTCACATACATACACACGTAAAATCTCTCACACACATACACATACACAAATTCTTTAAGATACAGTCCCACATACAAAGTTACATGG